GCGCAACAACCCAGAAGACAGAAATCTTCATACTCATCGCCCTGATGACGGAGGCAGTATGACCTCTGAAACGTTGGTTAACATCGACCAGACTACACAGCGCAACAACCCAGAAGACAGAAATCTTCATACTCACCGCTGTGAAAACCTCAAATCTTACATTGTAAGCACATCTCTCAACTTTCAAGCAATTACCTTCTGAATGAACATGTAACATTCACGTAATCAAACCAGGATCACTACAAATAAAGTATATGTACAGGTACAGACCACTTAATTGTCAACAAGGGCCTGATGAACGTTAATAAAGTAGTACCCCACTGAAATGATAATACATACTATTATGGTTGATGGCAACGTCTGTTATCGGTCTTGATTTTGCTCGAACTGATGTGTGTTTTGATGCTATTCTCTGAGGAACATTTGGAACTGCCTGAAAGGGAAAACATTCTCAGTGTAAGTTTTAAACTCAGACTTCTGCTCAAACCACAGATTCTGCTCAAACCACAGAAACTAAAACTATTATTTTACTGACCCCATCATCATCTGCCTCCAGTTCGGCGAACATGTGCGATGGGTTGCTTACTTTCTGAAGTAGCTCCACTGCAAGTCTTTTACTCATTTCACTTTGGAAAAATGGATGCTGCAACAAATATAATAATACAGCATTAACCATTTTGCCGCACATTATATTTTCTAGTGTTCCTTCAATTTCAGGTAAAAATCTTAACTATTACAGCTAGGTTGGTTATGTGCACTAATAAATAAATCACAGTTACCAACACAAATCAAGTACTCTCTATTAGTACAATAACATCCACCATACTAACGTCACTTAAAAATGACATTTTGGAGACTGTAATCTCTGTCTTCAGATAAAACCTACTCTGATGGGCGCAATCAATAATGCCAGTCCATATCTCCAGTGACAGTAATAGCTTTATCGACTGGGCGTAACAGAATAGGTTTTATAAGAGGTCAAAGACTGATTTCTTTAAACCACGTATTTTAATCCTCGTTGTTTAGCCAGGTGACTGGAGTATATCAGCATTTAAAGGTTTTAAAGGGTAGAAAATCATTAAATGAACTCTAGTTTGTTCACTGCAAATTCTAGACTAGAATATTTTTAATAAAATGTAAACCATTAGGGATGAATCAATTTTCCCCATACCAGAGTCTCAAAATATTCAGCCTGACAGCAAATTTGCATAAATTTTTCAGTTTTATGCCATGTTTTTTTAAGTTTTCTGTCTTCTGATTTATAGCCACGTGGTACAACCCAGTAGACAGTCATCTTCAGCCTTGCCGAAGAGAAAAACACAAATCCTATCATGTCTTTTTGTTTATTCTTTGAAAGATTAGAAAATAGATTAGTCAGAGTGGCAGAAAATTTTTAATTCACTGTACCATGGCTTCAGAATGGTATTTCCTCTGTGACAGTAGCATGCTTCCTTCAAAACAGGTTACAGCTGCAAATATACCCAAATGGTCAAGCTGTTTGTACTGTCAGAAGTCTTTGGCAGTGCACTTCTTGATTTCAATAGAGATATGTAAGTTTGGTAATCCTTAGAGGAAACGTGACCTAACCAATGCAGATTTACAGTTACGTTTGTACTAGTACGGTTCTGAGAATGGTATTGTAGTGTACACGCGAGTTTCTGAACCATAATCGAGTTTAAATATTTATTTCTTGCAGTCTCAGTATTTCTTAGCAGATACATCAATGAAATATGTAGCAAACAGCCGGGGGATAATAATATAATAATATTAATAATGAAAATAATAACCTGAGGACAGAAAAATTTGTCATGTTCTGCTGTATACATATATCACACTTTTCAGTTCAAAGTTTGAATGCCACTCACCAGCAATAGCTTTTCTGCTGTTGGTCTTTTCTTGGGATTTTTAGTTAATGCTACTTTTATGAAGTTATGAAATGTAGGACTCCTGCAAAAAGAAAAGAAAAGAAAAAAATCACAATAATACATGTACATCTGAAAAACATCAATACAACCAAATACACAACTTGAAAATTGTTGCATTCAAATTAAAAATTGGAATAAACCCACCTCAATATAATATAAAAATGTATGAAATTCAACACAATTTTTCAATGTTTGTTACATTACAGTCACCTTATGATTATCTATTGGTCGGGAAGCCTGAGGGGAAGAGACCTCTGGGGAGACCTAGACGTAGATGGGAGGATAATCTCAGGCGGGATCTATGGGAGATAGGAGTCAAAGGAGACTGGATTTTGTTGGCCCAGGACAGGGTCCGGTGGAGGGTTTTGGTTAATTCGGTGATGAACCTTCGGGTTCGGTAAGCCATCT